CTACTATATTTATGTTTCGTGTTACTCATCATGAAAATAATAGCGATCTTGTTTAAGGATACTAATAACAATGTCGAATTTTTTAGACGGATTTAACAATCCTTTTAAGGAATTTGTAATAAATTATTTTATTTAAATACAAAGGGATCTGATTAAATATTGCGAAGTTTTGTCATCAAAATTTATCGTAAGCTACTAACTTAACCAAAATGATTAACAAGTCATTTCGTTAAATTGTTTAGAAGCTTTCTGAACAATTAATTGTGTGCTTTTTACTTTTGAATTCCACGAGAACTCTTTATTTATGCTTTTATGTATGTGCTTCAATTCAGGACGAAATACTACTCACTCTCAGTTCAAGGATTCATAAAAAAGATTTCGCAGCAAAGCCGACATTTTGAACATAATTAAGAGCACCTCCATTTAAAATTCTAAATATCCAAGAAAAGGTTGTCGGCTATCATTAATCATGCTGAAATCATGTGTGTTTTCAAAGTCTTACAAAATACGTGCACGAAACATAAGATAATGAAATTTATCATTTTCAAAGAACTTTTGTAATGATCGTTAGGAACGGAACTGATTCCGCTTCCTCTTTGGACTGTCATGCACAAGGCAGGAAGTACACTAATAGATGTATAATTTGCTAGCACTCTGATGCACATAACATGGCTATTTTTTTTTAATTATATTTGCTCTTTTTCGAGAATTGGACTACATGCTTTCCTACAAATGAGAAATGACCTCAGCATACGTGTAGAGAAAAATAGTTTCTATCTTTGGGAGGTGTGGGGGCAAAGCTTTATTACTGAGATATGTTAAGAAATCTTAACATAAGTAACATAAGCTAAAAGGATAGTAATAATATTTTTAGAATCTTTACGCTAATTTTAAACCATTCTCTTTCGTGTCTAATACGAAATAACATAAATTTAGTTGCAGTTTATTTATAAAACAGTGTAGCGGGTTAATTACATAATAGTAGACTTCAAAAATGCGACCAATTAAAGCGCACAATATCTATATAATAAGAGTCATTTTTGGATGGAAATTTTGAAGCTTAAATAAAACTGGGGTAAGGTTTTATGTTTTTTTTAAATACAGGGCGCAAGGTGCACATATGGAAAAAAATTTTAAGCAATGCACAAAACGCGTCAATCATTTTAGTAATGATAATGTGAAACAGAAAAAAATTTTTATAATTTTTGTTGAATCAGCGAAAACTCCATATACAAAAGTACAATGAAATGAGAAAAAGGAGAAAGAGGAAAGGTAACACCAAAGTTTAATTATTTTGATGTATGCGTTTTCCCTTTTTTGGTCTATAACTTTCTTTCTCGGTGTATACATTACTTTGGTGTGCACGTTTCGGGGATTGGGGTAAGAGAACTTTAAAATATAATTCCTCTTACACTTGGTTGTATGGAGGTCAGTCTTATCCCAAAACATTATGAAAATTTTACTATTTTATATTACAGGTTCAAAACTTTGTATCATACAGAAACGAACCATTTTCACACAAAAACATATGCCCGCCAATACTATCCGCTTATGCCGCTTATTATAAGAGCGTTGTTTGTCAGAAATGACGTTGGGCAGTATGAGTCGCTATCATTGGAAACGCCAATGTTCAAAATGGATAAGCTTTCTTTCGGGCTGCCATGATCACTCGCTTCGTTCCCCATTTATTTCTTCCTCGGAGTTAACCTTTAGTGGTTTATGTGCGAGAACTTTGTAGCTGTGACACTGTCCTTGTTGCAAGATTTATGAAGTGCTGATGTTTTTGAAGACGCTTAATGAACCACCAGTTAGTATTCCTAGGCATATACTCCCGTGAACTTAAAGAACTTGCTCTGAAACTGAAAGTATACATATGTTTAATAAATATGCTGCATTATCTTGCTTGCATTACTTCATCTTTTGCTTTTCCCGCACCAGAATCCCACGGAAGTTGCATTTACGACCATGTTTCTATGTAAAAATAGCTTATTTTTATATGTTTGATTAAAAGTTATCCATAAACTTTTGGACCACCCTGTATACGCAGCAAATTAAATACATATATTCAGAATATAAAGTCTAGATTAAAAAGAAAGAGATTAAAAGATTTGCATTTCTATAGTATTATACTGGAAATGAAAAGATCAGATTAGAAATACGGTATTTCCAAACTTATCATTCTCGCATTTTTGCCGTTTTTACTAACAAAAGACAAGGGTCGAATTTTTTTAATGTACAAATGTACTGGTGCGTATTTTTATAGGCACTATGATCAAATAGAAGACAGGAGGTTTTTAAGGGATATCTAATATTTTGAAACTGAAGACTGATCTTCGGATTATTTGGATTTTTCTTCGGGAAACAGCATAAAACTAGTCCATTATTGCTGGGTGTGAATGCTCTTAAGAAAAGTAAAAATAAAATATATATATATATTACTGATAACCAAAAAGAAATCATTAATGGGACAATTAATTCTGCTGTTCACTACATTAAAACAAAATATTAATTAAATCCTAATTTTCTCGGTCTAGGGCACTGATTTCCCTACCTGACGCCTCAGATTCATAGCCTTCATTATTTTTAGAATTTTGCCAGATAGATCAGAATCAGAAAAATTTATGGCTTTGGAAAACGCGATTATCTAAAAGTTCTTATCAATTACAGACAGTGAAATCAGTTTCCAAGCTTCCATGCTTTCACAAATTCGGACTGTTACTCATATCTTATTTATAATTGTCAAGATGTGGATACATCCCGTCATCAATGGTTCATAAAAGCTTCGAATTACGATATTGAAAGGATTACTAATTAAGATGCCATGTCGTTTAATAGCTGAAGTGAAAGCCCCTAAAACTCACAGCTACACTAGTTCGTCTTTGGCTGTACCCAGCATTTGTTTGATCAGAGCTACGCTTTCTTCTCCATTTAGATTTTGAAAAATTAAAGTCATTCCTGCAACAAACCCTTGTATATAGTCTGGCGTTTTCCTTGAGAAAAAATGCACAGATATCCTTTTTACCTTAAAAATATCTTATGATTTTAAGGATGTACACTTTGAGAAAAGTACATATAGGGTGTCCCAAAATTAACGCAAGATTTGAATTCAATATAGTTTTTAGTCTTTAGATATTTATTTTTTAAGTGAATCATAAAGTACATAGGGTAGGGTTATTTATGGAATAACACATCGGGCAAATAGCCTACACGGCTTTGCTGGCACATATACACCCTTTCGTCGAAATTTTTCATGACCTTTCTGCATAATTGTGGCTGAATTTCGTTGATGTAACGTTTAATTTCCTCTTGTAATGCACGTGTGGTTGTGGGATTGTTGAAATAGACCTTTAACTTCAAATAACTCCATAAGAAGAAATCTAATGGTGTTAAATCACATGATCTATGGGGCCAATTCTGATCACCGAAACGAGAGATTACACGATCAGGAAATGTCTCATGCAGTAATTGAATTGTTTCATTGGCTGTATGGCATGTGGCACCGTCTAGTTGAAACCACATATTGGCCACATCGATGTCATCCAATTTTCACAGAAAGAAATGTGTTATCATGTCGCGATATCGAGCATCATTAACAGTTGCTGCTTGACCAGCCTCATTCTCAAAAAAGTATGGTCCGATGATGCCTCCTGCCCCAAAATCCCCACCAAACAGTGACACGTTGTGGGTGCATTTGTTTTTTGCTAATCACACGTGGGTTCTCCGAACCCCAAACACGACAATTTTGGCGATTAACAAAGCCATCGAGGTGAAAATGTGCTTCATCGCTTAGGGATTATTTTGCTCGAAAAACCAGCATCCACTTTTTGATGATTAATAATCCATTCCACAAACTCTCTTCTCTGTTCATGGTCATTAGGCTTCAGTTGTTGTGTTAATTGAATTTTGTAAGCATGAAGACACAGATCTTTTGTGAGTATACGTTGTAGAGAGCTTCTTGAAATTTGCAAGCCGAAATGATGTTCCTGGGTTTTCACCAACACTCTCACGCACTGCTTCAATATTGACATTTGAACGGCTTGTTTTCGGACGACCGGTGTGTTTAGCATCTCCAACTGATCCAGTCTCCACGAATTTTTCAATTAATCTTTTCACAGTTGACGACGTTAAAACACTATTTTTACTATATTTTGTATAAAATTTTCGAACTGCGGCCGCCAAACTTTCATTATTTTTTAAATATTGTTCAATAATGAAGACAAGTTGTTGTATCGTATAACGCTCCATTTTCACCAATCCTAAACTCTCGGCTTTCAGACTGTTCTTTTTTCAGGGTTGCCAACAACTTAATGCAAAAATGGCGCCAAATTCAAATCTTGCGTTAATTTTGGAACATTTATGTACATTTCAGAAGGAAGTTGCAGTTTGGAAAGTAAGTTAAAAAGGATAAATTTGTAATAATTTGCAAAAATTAATTAATTCTATCAGTTTTTTTAATTAATTTTTTACTTAATTGTTTAAAAATTTTATTTACTGGCTATTTTTGCTCTTAATGCATATCTGATATTTTTTACTTTTCAGTTTTGATATACTTGCTATTTTTATACATAATGATTTAAGCATTAATTTAGAGGCTTATTTATCAAAACTGTTGCACTGAGAGACATAAAGCTCTGAATTATTTTAATGGCAGATGCTGAAACAATTGTATCAAAGGATTCGTTCGACATTAAAATTTTTTCAAAGCATTGATTATTTTACTCATATCCACTATGTATGTACGTCATGTATCACCGACATTAGGTGATACGACTGACTTTCATCAAAAATGTCTTTTTAATTAGTATCTTTTATGATTTTTTAAACTAACCTTTCATAACTTTGTATGCAGAGTTCATTGGCTGTTAACATAAAATTACCACATCAAGTTAGTTAAGCATGAGACTCATTCATATGAGGTATAAATAAATATAATTACATGAGATTCATTTAAATGTATAATCACACGAAATTCACTTTTGAATCAATAAATTAGATCTTACCCTTAATTTGACAGAATTTAATATTTCTTTCCTTTTTTCATATTACAAAGCCACTGCATACAAAAGAACCTGCAAAAGTATATAGAAAAATGTGAAAAAACAAAAGTTAAAAATTATTTTACTAATCAGTTTCAAACGCTCTGTAATATTTGTTGTTCTTCTTTAGTTCGCAAACGCAAAAAGAGTTGACCGATTTTTAAAACAAAATTTTAAGTAAAATCTTTTATTCGTTATTAGTAAATTATTGTTCTTGCACTTATTCATAATTACAAATATTGTTCAGAAGTCACATCGTATTAATTTTCATACCAATTCTCCGTATCATGAAAAACAAATGACAAGAAGCTTGCCGAGACCTAACATTAGGCGTGATCAGTTTGAGCATCATTTTAGAAATATAAATCTATCGACAATAAGGAATTGTGGAAAAGAACGAGAATTGTATTACATTCATTTTCAGTTTCGACTATTTCCGCTAGATGGCGCTGCACTTCGAAATTTTGATATATGGCTTTTCACAGATAGGCATTACGATAGTTTGTCAACGAACGGCACTTTTTCTTAACCTGGCAAACACTGGATTTTGTGACTTGTGTGGGGGACAGAACATCACTTGATATTGCTACAGCTGTAAATAAATTTTGCTCTAAACTTTTGGAGAGGCTATATAAGCCATTACTTCTGGCATGCATGACTGACCAGCACGCTAAACCTGAAACTCTTGATTTCAAAGTATGGTGTTGCCTGAAGTCAAAGTATGCAGAAATAACTATTTCAATGGAAATTTTAAAAGTCGTTATACAACAGCATGTGTCAAATACCCTTGAAAGTTGCTAATTTGCCGAGAATAACGTCTTAGATGGTCTTCTGGCTATGCTTAATAATGATGCACGTATCAGTTATTTTTACTACCATGAGGTATTTTATGTTTATTTGTGGGTGAAATGCCTATTTCTAGCTTAATTGAAAATAAAATATTATGATATCAATACTATTCCAAAAATCGTGATTGTATGTCGTTTTGCGTTTGTATTGCGTTTCAATGCTTTACTAATTCAATGAAACATTTCTTTATTGAGTGTTTACTGCCTTTTAAATAACATATCTATATAAAACTTTAAACTAAAAATATATGAATATCATTTAGTAAAAATTAAGCGCAAATGTAGCGTTAATAATTTGTATTTAAACTAGAAATAAGTGTATAATCTACTTCTTAGGACAGTTACAATTTACTACAAAATGTAAGACATTGAAGACGATACCTGTCACCATAAATTGAGGTAAAAAATTTTAAAGTTATAAAAATATAAAAAGTTTATAAAATAGTTTTATAAAATTGAAAACGAAATCAGTCAAATAAATTAAATAACGAAAATTAATCGCTCTGAGATAGGAGTTCTGCAAAGCAATAACCGATATCAACATAAATTTGTTCTCGGCCCCTGTCAGCGGCCGAGCGGTAAAGACGCTGTACCCTGGTAGTTCGGTTCAAGGTTCAAATCCCGCGAAGGGGGTAGCTGCCTGCAGGGTTTCATGGTTTTCCTCATGTGTAATGTGCATGCGAGCAGTTTCCCTTAGAAATTCCTCCACGAAGGCATCCTTCCACTCAGGCAGATAGCCTTCGAGACTTTGTCGTAAATAAACGAATTTATTCTCATTAAAAATCAATCACATAAACTAACCAATCACATAAAACAAGCCAATTTATCTTCAATCAAAATCCAAATACGATTCGCTAATCTGCGAGTGGCTTTAAAAAATGTTTAATTTAAAAATCCAATTTTTTTTTCCTGAAACCACCCGCAAATATGTTATCTTCGCCTTTAGTTCACAATAGTTAAGAATAAAATTAAAAGCGATAATAAAAATTAACGTGTTAAAATCATCTTTCTAAAAATTAATTAATGTAAGAAAATTCAAGCTATATAATAATTTATTATAACTATATAAAAATCTATTGTAAGATTTTATACATAATGATAACTATAAGATCTTTGTAAGATTTTATATAAGGTACAGAATTTAGCATCGTGAATTTTGTCATAAATTAGAAAGTAGATCATACATTAATTTCTAGTTTATATAGATATATAGATATACATGTATGATGTATGTGTAAAAGTAAGTTTGCTCAATTAACAGTATCTAAAATTATTTGATGTACTGTGTTTAGAAATCGTCTACGGGGTAAAATGGGCCTCTCTCTGACGATAATATAAATAGTTTTATAGCCCATACCTTTTTGTATCACGCCGATAATTTCTAAATTTCACCGGTGTTTTCATTTTATCTGTCATTGATAAGACTTAAAAATGCAAAGGTATTTGGTTTATTTTAATTTAATAATGGGGGATTTCTTTTTTTTAAGCCCAAAATGCTTTAGCCCAGAAGGGCTATTAATTTCGTTTTAGTATTTTGCGTCCATTCACTATAAATGGCGAATCACTTTTCAGATTGTTGCCACCAAATATTATCGTCCTGTGTTATAGTTAAAGAAATTAAATAATGAAGAATCTGCATAAAAGTATGTACGTTTCTCGCATTGTGATAAAACAACGGTATCTAGAGCCATCAACTTTTGAATAATGTAATCATCCACCGAATATGGGCGTCTGGAAGCCCTAATTTGGAATTTGTTTTATTATCGATTTCATATTTCGTAATAATTAGCGAATTTCGAATTCTTGATTAACAAACTCAACGATTTCAAAGCAAGTAATGGCAACGCTATACGGAGGGGGGGGGGGAATTATCTCCAGCGCGAGACTGTGTATCTCGAAATTCTATAGATATGTTCATTTTAAAATATTTTTGCGATATTGCTCTTGAAGTGAATTTTTTGGTTTAAGTACGAAGAACATGATATTTAATAAATAAAGGTAACACACAAAATGTAAAAAAAAAGTCCCATTGGGCGTAACGTAAAATCTGAAAGTTTTCAGATTTTTTTCTTTTCTCTTAGTGATTCATATTTTATAAAGCTACCTCTACCCTCTACATACGAAATTTAATAGCGAATGGTTGTAATAGTGCATTGTATAACTTTAGAGCAAATATAGCATACGTGACGCAAAACTAATTATCGCTTTGTGTTTGTCGAATTACATAAAGAATATTTAATACAAAAACTTATATCTGCTTCGTATTATGCGATATGTGACCTGTCGTTATATTGTATGAAATAACAATGTTTCAAGCAGGTGAAACAGGTCTTTCTTTTGTAAATCTCATATATTACTTTTTCTCTTATTCTTATGAAAACGACGTTCGGAAAACAAAAGAAATTGCGATACAGATGTTTAGAATAAGCAAAGAAAAAATTTTTTGAACGACAGATATTTTGTTAACAAACTGTTACCATGAAAAATTTTGAAAATATTTCAATAAATATATTAATTTGCACTTGTTAAGTATCATATTAATTTAGTTTAAAAGATTTTAAAATGACACGTGTTTCACAAGGAATCAACGATTTCCGATGCTACCATTTTAATTTCTTTTGCTCATTGCTGGAAAATGCAGTGATGATAATTTTAAGTATTAATATAATAAAAATATGCTCTCTCTTTCTCTTATATATTTATTTATTTATTTATTTATTTTTGAGTAGTCAATTTAGTACAATAATATCTTTTATTCGTTTTACTAAGTGTTTCGAAGGCGTGTAGGAAAAATCCCGGTACATTTGAGATTCGATTTTTCAGTTTTATATGAACTTTAATATCTTAAATGAAAATTTGATACATTCTTTTTTCGGCTTTTGATCTCAAATGAACCAGAAGAACGAAACACGTTTTCGAAACATATTAATCGACCTTTATGAAGCTTTAATTCATTTTCCCCTGTTGAGTTCTGAATTGGAGTTTCAGTAAAAGGAAATTAATTTATATTTTTATTAACGTGCATTTCTTTTTCCTTTTTTTGCATTTTCCTGTTTATTTTTAGAGTTTGTACTACTATGAATTCTTATTTTAATTTTGATTTGTTTGGGATATTGTGTTATACCTCTTATACACAGTTGCAATTATTAATATTTTTGAGAAATAACCTTGCTTTGACTCCAATTTACTTTTAACTTTAGATTCTTTTCTTTAAGTCAATATGTATATATATTCATCCGTCGAGTTGGAGGGCAGGGGGCACGCACGGGGTTTGCCCACCCTTTTCGAGTTTCCTCGTTGACCAAAGAAGACGACAATGGTACAGGTCTGTTTTTAATAATTTTTTTCTCTAAAGGATTTTTTCTAGGTCTTGGCAAGACCCTTGCTTCAATTCGTCTATTATATTATATTATCTTTTACGTTTTGATTTAAATATAGTTTACGGTACTTTTACAAAGTATTAACTTTTTAAGCTCGCAGGTCCACCCATAAGATCTTGTATATTTTGACTAACAGCATATCGCTATTTATTATTATTATTATTATTATTATTGTACATCGGCATTTCCTTTCCATTATTTATTTATTATCTTTTTCACACTTCAATGTGTTAATTAATGTAAGCGGACGCGTCGGGAAAATGGAACGGAGAATTGAGACTAAAGTTTTTGTTTAATTCATTGAAAAATGTGTTTAGACATAGTTGATTTAATTCATTAAAAAATGTGTCGCGTACAGTTTCAATGGTCTGTTTCGGCGAAACGCGTGATGGAGTTAGCGTAGTTCGAAATTCATTGAAAAAACTTCCTCCTGACGTGCCAAAATGAACTTCGAATTGGGCTAATCAACCATTCTTCGCTTCTTAATTTTTATTTTATTTTTATTTTCACCTCGATCAATTGATTAGTACTTTTACTATGTTTTAAATTTACTTAATTAGTTTAACATATAGCTTACTATTTTTGTTAATTTTTACTTGTAAATATTCAAATGTATATTTCTCTTTTAACACAATTCATGGCAACTAAATTTGCTTATGTTGAAGTTTTAGCGGAGTAACAGTTTTTTAGCGTACTAAAATGTATCTTCTAATTTCTTTAATTTTGCAGCACAATGCGCAAAATTTTTGACCACATAGGTCTTTTATCGTTTGTTCTTTCTACTATATATATATAAATGTTGTAT